AACCTGGTTCTACAGTAAACCTGGTTCTAATGTGAACCTGGTTCTACGGTAAACCTGGTTCTACGGTAAACCTGGTTCTACAGTAAACCTGGTTCCACCTGGAGCCTGAAACTAGGTCTGAGTCCTCCAACAGTTTTGTTCCAAACTGAGAACCAGACACACACACACACACACACACACACACACCCAGCCTGTGGTAAACACTGGACTCAGCAGGTGGAACCAACCATCTGCTGGGTTCTGCTGCTTTTACACAGACTAGCACAGTTTAGCACAAAAACTGCTAGCTTAGCACAAATGCTGGTATTTTAGCTAAGCAACGGAAACTGTTAGCCTAGCTTAGCAGAGAGACTGAAGCAGGACTTCAGTTCCATGAAGACGACTTTTCATAAAGTCAGAACTAAGCTGCCTCTTTAAACTCTTGTCTTCTGTTGTTCGGTTCAGCGGTTCAGCATCAGGGGACACTGAACAGTTTGTCCGAGCTTCACTGCCTGAATAACTTCCAGGTGAGATGTCCTGGGTGGAGGCTGAACACTAACAGGTGTGTCTGTGTTTAGGGCTGTCTGTCCCGCTACCTGTCCGTCCACTCGGTGGACTGGTCCACCTGCTGCAGGATGACTCACGGTGTCACCAGAGGACTAGCCTTCCTGCACACGGAGCTCTACAGAGCAGGTAACACCCCTTCAGGTGTCGGAGGCTCCTGACAACAAGAGATGTTTATTTATGTACCTGCTGGTCGTAAACAACAACAAGCCTCTGTGTTGTCTCCTGTCAGACCAGTACAAGCCGGCCGTCGCCCACAGAGACCTGTCCAGCAGGAACGTCCTGGTGCGAGCCGACCTGTCCTGCGTCCTCGCCGACTTTGGTCTGTCCATGAGACTGACGGGCAGCCGCGCCTGTTGCCACGGAGACGATGACACCATGACCATATCTGAGGTCAGGTCACGTGGTCACGTTAAGAACACGTCAGTAACAAGGTTCTAACGGAATAATGAAACACTGAAGTTACTGAGGTGTGAGCTGAGCTGGGGGCGGAGCTAACGGTCTCTGTGCTGTACAGGTGTAACCTGAGCTGGGGGCGGAGCTAACGTTCTCTGTGCTGTACAGGTGTAACCTGAGCTGGGGGCGGAGCTAACGGTCTCTGTGCTGTACAGGTGTAACCTGAGCTGGGGGCGGAGCTAACGTTCTCTGTGCTGTACAGGTGTAACCTGAGCTGGGGGCGGAGCTAACGTTCTCTGTGATGTGTGCAGGTGGGGACGGTGCGCTACATGTCTCCAGAGGTTCTGGGTGGAGCTCTGAATCTCAGAGACTGTGAGTCGGCGCTGAAGCAGGTGGACGTTTACGCTCTGGGTCTGCTGTACTGGGAGAGCTTCAGGAGGTGCTGCGACCTGTTCCCAGGTAGCCCAACACACAGCCTGACACACAACACACAGCCTGACACAACACACAGCCTGACACCAGGTGTGTTTCTATTCACCTGCTTACATTTTCAAACTGAGTGGAAATATAAAATCGGAAAACCCTGTAAACACACTACAGAGAGTCACAGAGCTCCTGTGTTTGCTGTTTGTTGTGTGTTTGTTGTGTGTTTGCTGTGTGTTTACTGTGTGTTGTGTGTGCAGGTGAAGCCGTCCCTGACTACCAGCTGGCCTTCCAGGCTGAACTGGGGAATCATCCGAGCTTCGAGGACATGCAAGTTCTGGTGGTCCGAGAGAAATTCAGGCCGAGGTTCCCTGAAGCCTGGAAGGAGAACAGCCTGGTCAGTGGTTGTGTTCCCGATTGTGTTACCAGCAGCTCACCTTGGACTGTGTGTAACTGTGTAACTGTGTGTCTGTGTGTGTCTCAGGCGTTGCGTTCCCTGAAGGAGACGATGGAGGACTGCTGGGATCAGGACGCTGAAGCTCGACTCACCGCTCAGTGTGCAGAGGAAAGACTGGCTGAACTCACACTGCTGAGTACACACACCTCAGTACACAACCACAGGTACACACACCTCAGTACACAANCACACAGTAGCACACGGGTGACTGTGGTCCGGTGGAGCGGTGGGTGGGCCACTAATCCCAGCATCGGGGGTTTGATCCCCTACTTGGCCTGCTGTGACTGAGGGACACTATAAATGTTCTACATGTTCTGTTTACCAGCTACAGTGGGCGGAGCCAACAGTGTGTCCAGTGTTGGTCAGAACTTGGAAACAGGCTTTTATCATTTTTTGTAAAATAAATAATCAAAGAAATGTTTCCTTTCTCTGGTCTCCTGGTTCTGAGTCCTGCTGACAGCAGACATCTCTGAGTTCTCTCCTCCTTCATGTTCTGGTTCCACAGAGCTGCAGGACTTTATGTAGAAACATGAACCTCAGTGAGTTAAAACAAGACAGAAATTAAAACACCCAGAAACTGCTTCCAGTTCAAAGAGTTTAAAACAAATAGATATCTGAAAACATCCGAATCTGAAGTCTGATCTGGAGCTGAAGTAAACCCAGAGTACCGACTGTCAGGCTGAACATGGGACCAGACTGCAGCTCACTGGTCAGAGAGAATAAACACATTTAGCTGAACATCAGAGGACCTATGATTGATCCCTGAGGAACTCCACAGCTTCAACTTCCTTTTTTTTGTCGCGCTCTCTGACAGCTGATTGGTCGAGGCCGTTACGGCACCGTGTACCGCGGATCTCTGAACGAGCGCTGCGTCGCCGTCAAACTGTTCAGCTCGGCCAACCGGCAGAACTACGCCAACGAGCGGTCCATCTACTGCCTGCCGCTGCTGCAGCAGCACGACAACATCGCACGGTTCCTGACTGCTGACGAGAAGACGGCAGCCGATGGACGCCCGGAGTTCCTGATCCTCATGGAGTTCTACCCGCATGTAAGACTGATCGCTTCCTTCAACTGAGTTACTCTGTTCTCACAGCAGGGGCAGTTCACCAGAACCCTAACCTGGTTCTACAGTAGACCTGGTTCTAACGTGAACCTGGTTCTAAGGTAAACCTGGTTCTACAGTAAACCTGGTTCTACAGTAGACCTGGTTCTAACGTGAACCTGGTTCTAAGGTAAACCTGGTTCTACAGTAAACCTGGTTCTACAGTAGACCTGGTTCTAAC